GCTCCAACACAGTAGTCAGAGACTTCACATGAGATTTGGACCATCTTGTGGGGGAAAAGCAGATTACTTCCTACTGAGCACCCCCTCTGGTGGGGAAACTTTCTTTCAGGGATGCAAACTTGTTCAGAACACCGGTAGACGGCAGCCATTACAGACGAACATGTGTTTGTTGTTGTTAGAGGAGCGGCTCGGTCACACACTAATGTCATTAGTTTGTTATCATTACTGAGCTGCAGGAATACCTTTTCCCCCTTTTTTCCACATCATGTCTCCTGATGGATCTGTTATTATCTCACTCTGAAGCACAGAGGAGTGTCAGAGGTGAGCTCGTTTCAACTGATTTTTACAACGTGGTCTCATTTCYGGACTCAGGATTTTCCAATTTTTCAGTTAATTCAATTCAATTCAAAAATACTTTATTGATCCCAGAGGGAAATTAGGTTAAATACATAAGTAAAAATATTTATCTGAGTATAATGCTATCCCCCAACTTTATGGATGATTTTATGGATTAAATTTTACAAATTACACACAAATAAATACAGTAATTCAGATACAAAACTTTAAATTCAGTTTCAGTTTTTTCTTTGACGTTTTGTATTGAAGAATATRAATGTCACAGGAACTTTAAAGCTGCTGCAGAATAAACTTAGATTTTCTACAAACATAAAACCTGATCGTTTGATGAGAAAAAGAAAAGATAAAAATCAAATATTCCACAACATCATGATTTAATGAACAAAACCTGGTTCCTGGTCCTGATCTGCCTGAACAGAAGCAATCATCTGAACAACAGATTAGAAGAGTTGGAGGATCAGGATCAGGACCGGATCAGGATCAGGACCGGATCAGGGTCAGGACCAGGTCTCCCTCTGCAGTCGGCCTGTTTGCTCCATGAGCACCAGCCTGTGTTCCGCCTCGTCAGCAGAATCTCCTCCTTCCAGCTGGAACACCTCCTTCAGAGCGTCACGCACACCTCCTGGCATCTGTTTGGAGTTTCTGTTAGAAAACAACAACACTGATAAACAAACAACGAGGTCGTTTCAACACTGATAAACAACGAGGTCGTTTCAACACTGATAAACAACGAGGTCGTTTCAACACTGATAAACAACGAGGTCGTTTCAACACTGATAAACAACGAGGTCGTTTCAACACTGATAAATAACGAGGTCGTTTCAACACTGATAAACAAACAATGAGGTCGTTTCAACACTGATAAACAAACAATGAGGTCGTTTCAACACTGATAAACAAACAATGAGGTCGTTTCAACACTGATAAACAAACAATGAGGTCGTTTCAACACTGATAAACAAACAATGAGGTCGTTTCAACA